GCTTGGGTCATACAGCAAGACCCCGTCCCTAATTAAAAATATATATTATTAAAAAGGAAAAAATTTGTTTCCTTATTTTTTATAGCTCACTTTTTTTTTTTTTTTTTTTTCTCTGAGCAGAGTCTCACTCTGACACCCAGGGTAGAGTGTAGTGGTGGGATCTCAGCTCACTGCAGCCTCTGCCTCCCGGTTTCAAGCGATTCTCATGCCTTAGCCTCCTGTGTAGCTGGGACTACAGGCCTGCGCCACCATGCCCGTCTAATTTTTGTGTTTTTAGTAGAGACGAGGTTTTGCCATGTTGACCAGGATGGTCTCGAAATGCTGACCTCAAGTGATCCACCCGTCTTCGCCTCCCAAAGTGCTTAGGATTACAGGCATAAGCCACTTCGTGCCTGGCCAATAGCACATGCTTTTAAAAAATACCAGCCAAGAAAGGATGCCCCGAGTCCTTACATGACTGAAAATGTATTTATTCTGACTCTACACTTCACCGTTTGGCTGCACATAGACTTCTAGGTTGAAAATAATTTTTTCTTAAACTTTTAGATGTATTCTTCCATAATCTTCTAGCACTAAATGTTGTAGCAGAAAATTCTGACACCAATCTAATTCTTGTTTTATAGATTGTCTGTTTTATCTAAAAGTTTATTTTATTCTTAGTGTTTGGAAATTTTACAGTGATGTATGTAGGAATGAGGCTTTTTCCATTCGTCCACCTGGTTTATAATGTTTATCAACTGACCCTTGCTCCACCCACCCCTCATAGAGTGCAGGGGCTTTAATTTATTCACTGCTAAAGTCCCTGTATCTGGCACACATCAGGTTCTCAATAGTCGTTTGCTGAGTGAATGAATTTACTGCTGCTACCAATTAAAGGTCCTGTGAACTCCAACAGTCCAGCTCAGAACATTTTATTTATTCTTGTCTTTTTTTTTGAGACAGGGTCTCACTCTGTCACTCAGCGCTGGAGAGAGCAGTGATGTAAATCACAGCTCACTGCAGCCTTCGAACTCCTGGGCACAAGTGATCTTCCTGTCATAGCCTCCTGAGTAGCTAGGACTACGGGTGCACGCCGCTATGCTGTGGTTAATTTTTTAAAATTTCCGTAGAGACCCGGTCCTCATTATGTTGATAAGGTTGGGATTTTTTTTTTCCTTCTCTATGAGAGTCTCACTGTCACCCCCAGGCTGGAGTGCCAGTGCGTGGTGGATCTTGGCACACTTGCCAAACCTCCAACCTCCCAATTCAAAGCAATTCGTGCCCTCAGCCTCCTGAATAGCTGAGAATTACACAGGTGTGGCATCACCCACAACCTGGCTAATTTTTGGTATTTTTAAGTAGAGATGGGGTTTTTGCCACGTTGGCCAGGCTGGGTCTCAAACTCCTGACCTCAGGTGATCCACAACGTCTCAGCCCTCCCAAAGTGCTAGGATTACAGGCATGACATGCCACGCGCCTGGCCCAGTTTTTACAAGATTTTGTAGTTTTTTGGTTTTTTTGGTCTATACCCGCTGCTGCCTACTTTTTCTTGCTTCCAGGCCTATATATATATATATATTTATATATCACTTTATTTTCAATCTTGCTGAGAAATAAAAAATTGGAATACTTTAGCTGACTTGTCCTTCAGTTGTTTTTTGTTTTTTTGTTTGTGTTTGTTTTTGAGACGGCTCTCTTGGTCGCCCAGGCTGGGGTACAGTGCATGTTCTCAGTTCAACTGCAAAGCTCTCACTCTCC